GTTACATTGGATGAAGTTAGAATTAGTAAGTGACAGTTAGAATTTTAGGTGGTGGGATGTCTAAGCAAACTGTCGATGGTATGTCTTCATTTCTCCTTGCTTATTATAGATAATGGAATAGGAGAGAGAAAAATTAAAGAGAAAACTATTGACCAATAGTCAGGTGTTTGATAGACAAAGGAGATTTTCACATCTTCAGGAAACCCCATTATATTAAATAAATTAAAGAACTTTAAGACACTTTTCCACATTCTAGATGCATGTCTAATACAGATTTAGACTTAAATGCACAGAGAGAACACAGAAAATGGAAATTCAGCAACCAATCAGTTTGCCAAATAGGCAGATTTAAACTAGTTTGTAATATTACCTAAATACTCAAAGAATAAACCCCAGATTCAAATAACAAATGATACATTGCACAAGTATACATATGTAACAAACCTGCGCGTTATGCACATGTACCCTAGAACATAAAGTATAATAATAAAAAAGAAAAGAATTACAAAACAAGAAAAATACTTTAAAGTAACTAGCAAAAAAAAAAAAATTTCAATGTTAGGTGACTGGTTGAGAGAAGCTTGAACTAATGTTATTTTGAAGAATCATACATCAATAATGAACCTTTGTCCAGTGATCCAAATTTTCAAGGGGCTGCTTGAGTAAATAGTTTCTACCTCCCCTACCTGTGATTTCTGGCAGAATCTATCATCCTCTAAAACCCAGGGACCATTAAGAACAGAGATAGAAGTTTGAATACTATGAAGTTTTGAGAGACCCAAATTACTGCCTGGACTGATTGGTGAGGATGATCTCTATAAGCCTCGTCTTTGAAGAGTGTATGGTGGCTTTTGTTATAATGAACAGGTAGCAATAAAGACAGGAAGGAAAATGAAGGAGGAGGGGAACATGGTCCAAACAGAAGAACAACATAAAGATCTAGAAACTGATATCAATGAAAAGGAAGCATATGGATTACCTGGCAGAAAATTTAAAGTAAACGTTAGAAACATGTTCATTGAGCTAGTGGCATCATGCAAGAACAATGTGAGAATTTTCATAGAGATAAAACATTTAAAAGATGACTAAACAAAAATATTGATGCTCAAGAATACAATAAGTCAGACAAAATTTTTAAGCAGATTTTAGACCAGACTAGATCAAGTAATAGAAGAAACAGTAAACTCAAAGAAAGATCATTTGATATATTAGAGACAGAGAAGAAAAACTTAAATAAAAGAAATAAAAAAGAGTTAAAGACTTATGAGTCAGGAAGCACAATGAAAATGAATTATGCATTGAGGAGTTATGCAAAGATAAGACAAAAGGGGTAGTGAAGGAAGAGGGTGAGAGACAGAGAGAGAGACAGAGCAAGAGAGGCGGAAAGGTTTTTAAAGAAGTAATAGCATAGAAACTTTCTCAATCTGGAGAAGCAAATATTTGTCCACATCCATGAAGCTCTATACATTTTAAATAAGGTAAATCAAATGAGAAAAATCAGAGATTGTTTGAAACCACTTTGCTAAAGGAAAGGTTTTTGAAAATGGAGAGTAAAAGAGCAGATTTAGCAGATTTCTCAGCAGAAGATTTTCAGTTCAGAATGGAGAGGAATTATATTAAATAATGTATGGTTTATTGATAGATTATTTCTGAGAAATGTATTTCTAGTCAATGTCATCATTGTGCAAGCATCATAGGGAGAACTAACACAAACCTACAAGGAATATCCTACTACACATAGACTATGTGGAATAGCACAATGTTTCCAGACAACTCACCTGTACAGAGTGTTACTGCACCAAACACTGCAGGGAACTGAAACGCTGTGGTAAGTATCTCTCTATGTAAACACATCTAAATATGGAACATCCTTCGTGAAAATACGGTATTACAATGCTATGTGGCCACAAACATATATGTGGTCTATTGTTGACTGAAACATTGTTAGGTGGCCCATGATTGTATTCAAATTGCTGGGGGGAAAAGAATGAAAAACAAACAAAACTCTGCCAACCAAGAAATATTACCACGTAAATCTTTTTGTAAAAATAAAGGATAGGTAAGACCTTTCCCAGAGAAGCAAAAACTAAAGGAGTTCTTCAACACTGGGCCAGCTTTAAACACCAAAGGGTCTCAAGTAGGTCTGCAGAATAATGACATAGCTGCATCAGCTCCATTCTGGCCTCTGCCATGTGACAGTTTTGTGTGAATTTTCTTTCTGCTCTCTCAGGACTTTTTTTCTCCCTCATCTTCTAA